AATAGAGGTGGGGTCCGGGGTGGGGGCAGATGGGGAGGTGTCCCCCGCCCCGATCCCTGCCAGGCTGGGCTGGGGGGGTTTGTTGGGACGGTTGGCCTTGCAGGCTGCAAATGTCTTTGCTGGGTGTGTGGAGCAGGGGGCTGATGCTGTGCTTGTGTGTGTGTGTCCCCCCCCAGTTGTGCTCATCGGGGACTCCGGGGTGGGGAAGAGCAACCTGCTCTCCCGCTTCACCCGCAATGAGTTCAACCTGGAGAGCAAGAGCACCATCGGGGTGGAGTTTGCCACGAGGAGCATCCAGGTGGACAACAAGACCGTGAAGGCTCAGATCTGGGACACGGCCGGGCAGGAGCGGTACCGGGCCATCACCTCTGCGTGAGTTACCTTGCTCCCCACCCACGTCCCTCACCCAAGGGCCCTGCTGTGACCTCGTCCCCTCGTTGTCCCCCAGGTACTATCGGGGGGCGGTGGGAGCTCTGCTGGTCTACGACATCGCCAAGTACCTGACGTACGAGAACGCCGAGCGCTGGCTGAAGGAGCTGCAGGACCACGCCGATGCCAACATTGTCATCATGCTGGTGGGCAACAAGAGCGACCTGCGGCATCTGCGGGCCGTGCCCACCGATGAGGCCAGGAGCTTTGCAGGTCTCTCCCCCACCCCATCCCTGTCCCATCCCACCCCAGGGTGGCTGTGGCTCCTGGCACCCACCCGGGCTAAGGGGGGCTGTGTCTCCTGGCACCCACCGGAGCTCACCCTGTCACACCTTGCAGAGAAGAACGGGCTGTCCTTCCTTGAGACGTCTGCTCTGGACTCCACCAACGTGGAGACGGCTTTCCACAACATCCTCTCGGGTAAGGGGTAACCAGGAAAGGGGGTAACAACGACCACGGAGATGGTTTCGGACATCGTGTCCTCCCAGCACCCTGCTGGGAACCCTGGCTGTACGTTCTGGGGTGGGATCCTGCTTCCCTGGGTGGGGAGATGTGGGCATTTGCACACCTTGAGCTGTGTGTTTTGGGAGGGGGCAGGTCCCCCACTGAAATATATACTTAAAGAATTTCTTCCCCCCCTTCTTTCTCTTCTCTCTCTACTGGCAGAGATCTACCGCATCGTGTCCCAGAGGCAGATCACCGGGCAGCCGGAATCAGAGTTCGGCCCCACCACGACCATCGAGCCCATCCGGGTGCTCCCCACGCAGCAGGAGGGCAGGCAGGCACCCTGCTGCCAGAATAACTGAGCACCTTGGGGTGCCCCCACCCTGACACCCCCCCACGTGTTTCTCACCCTCTACCTCTGCTCGCTGCAGCCCCCTCCCTCCCCCAGAACAGGGTGGGCTGGTGGCTGCTTCTGCACGACTGCTCTTGTGTGCACCATCACGCTGCCTGTGTGCTGCTCTCCCTGTGTTTATGTAGGACCTACACAAATGGGGGGGGGAGGAAGCATCAGGGTCTCCCCCCTCTCTCCCCATGGTTTGGGATGTGGCCCTGCCTCGTCTCACCCTGAAGGCACAGTCACGGGGTGACTCAGGGTGGCAGTGAACAAGCCCAAAGATTGTGACTCCCTTGTTTGGCATCGCATTCCCGCAGCACCCTTGGGTGCAGCCCTCCAGGGTGGGGTGCGGAGGGGGTGCACCCTTC